TAAGAAGTAGATAGGAGAGGAAGAACAGACAAAAGGCCTGCAAGTATTGCAGCCTTTTTGTGCTCCAAAGATTGAGTGAGACCAAAACCTCAGGAACCTCACAAGGAGGATCTAGCCAGCTTTGGCTGCTCTTCCAACTTCCTAATAGGGAGCCACGGGTTTTCTCAGATCATCCATGGTCCCTGACTCTGAAAAAGGGAATGAAGGTGGTAGATCTCCATACCTGCTCAAGCCTTAATTTTATATGTACTCTCATATAGAGCTCTGACGGAAAAGACAGGAGAAGGGCTTGACTGGATCCCCTCTCTACCCCAAGCATTGATCTCTTGAGGAGTGTTCACCTTCCTCACCCTTCTTCAAGAAGGAAGACAAAATAGAAGGCTATTACTATAGCACTTTATAGACCAGAGCTTAGATGAGAGGTAGAAGTTGGAGACCTGGAAGCTGAGTCATGGGGGAGGGATTCTAGTCCTCCTCTTACATGCTCGTCTCAAGGCAAGTCTCACTGAACACACCTTGGAGCATCCAAAAGCAGGTGTTCCCATGTCTTCTGGTCTAGAGAATTCAGCCCCTTCTGGATAGCAGAGTTGAGGATTTCCTTCATTTCCTTCTCATTAAAGTACTCCCCATCACCAGTTCCACCCCTCTGGACCAGTTTAGTCTGTAGCCTCCATCTTGGTTCCCCGGGGCACCAGGAAGATGGCCCCATCAGCGGCCTGTTGCAGTGCATATTCGTCAGGGGAGTAGCTGTTTCCTGATTCATCCCGTAGGTGCTGGAAAATGTCACAGTACAGCTCTGTCAGCTGTTGGCGCATGACCTCCAGGGTCCGGTCTGCCTCCCCCCGGGCCCGAAGAAGCCGTTCCCGTTCACTGCCTAGCCGCTCCAGCTCCCGCTCCAGCTGCACTATAGTCTCCAGCTTTCTCTTCCGACAGTTCTGGGCGGCCACCTTGTTCTTGCCCCGCCGTCGGATGTCCCGGACTAATGCCAGCTGACTCTCCGTCAGTGGGTACCGTGCCAATAGCTCATTGAAGTCATCTACTGGTAAGTTGACAATCTTGTCCGTAGGGAAGGGAATTTTCATGGCTAGGGCTCGACGCTCATCCCGACTCCCTGCTTCCCCTCGTGCAGTGGACTTAGCCCGCACAGGGCCTGAGGAGGGCTCTAAGGCCAACGGGGTCTCAGCAGGTGGCAAGGTGTAATTGGAGTGGGCCAAGGAATTGGGCATAAGTGAGTAGGGGTACTCCACCGGGTACATCTCTACATACTCGTTACGCCGCCGGCTGGCCTCTGTCCCCTCCAGCTCAAGAGATTCAGCATCACTATAGTTGAGGGATAATCCCGAGTCTGATTCTGGATCTTCTTGAGGTTTGGGTGGTCCTGCCGACAGCCCAATGTCCAAGAGGGCCAAAGGGTCCGGGAGGGGTTCATTGAGCAAGCCTGAGAGGGTCAGTGACTTGGAGACTGGTATGGCCATGTTGCCATAGGAGTATGGGGGGTCTGGGACATGGGATGTAGATGCTGGGACCTCATAAGGTGGTGGAGGAAGGGAGAAGCCAGTATCGGGGTGGACCGAGCAGGGGCAGTAAGCTGGAGGTGGTGGGGGTCCAGGGTATGGGGCCAGGGCTTGAGGCTCAAATGATGATTCACTTGGAGCATTTAGACCCTGTAAGGAAAGACAGAAAGAGGTTTATGGAAAGGCTGAGAAAGAAAAAAACAACATTCTGACAAGACCAAGCAGGGTCCTTCTAAAAGATCCAGTGAGATTCTAACAGCGAACAAAAGAGTGCTCAAGATCACTGGAATCTTTTGCAAAGTTGTAATGTAGCTATTCCAAGAAAGAAGCTTCAGTAAGAGCGGAAGTCACTAAGGTCAGACTTCACTAAGGTCAGACTTCAGAAAAGACTACCTAACGATGGAACAATGATGAACTCTTCTCCTTAGAAGTTGTTACTGGGTAGGGACCAGCAGTTGGTGTAATGGCTATGTCGCTGAACTCCTATGTAGTTGACCGCGGTTTGAGTCCCGGACCTGGTGGCTTAAACTCACGCTGGGCACGTGTGCATGCGTGCCCAAGATCCCGAGAGGAAAATGGAGAAGGGATTGTGGGTGTGGCCATCCCCCCCAGGGGGGTGATTTCTCACTGTCTTTCTCTCTGTCTCTCTTGTCTTTCTGGTGAGCGCATATGCCCTATAGTAAAAACCTCTCAAAAAAAAAATAGTTCTTACTAGGTTGAAATGTCTCACGTTCCTTTATTGCCTTCGGGAGCACAGGCCTTGTTGTCCAAGATGACCCCTGAGAACCCTTTCCTGCTGTAGATATCTAGGGTCAGAAGGTCAAGTTTAGATTACAGCCATGCCCTGGGTGCCCAGCAGAGGGAGCTGCTGTGTGGGAGGAGGGTCTAGGGCAGATTCTGAGGGCACCAGGCGTGGTGCCGGAGAGACCAGCACAAAGCTGGGGCTGGGAACTTAGAAGTACCTTGGGGAGCCTGCACAAGCTCTGCCCTCTCTTCAGTCCCTCTGTCTCTGCCCAGGTGCAGTGAGGAAGAGAGAACATACTGGAGACAAGGCCCCCAACCCACATCGGGGAGCAACCCTGCTCCAGCCCAGCTAGGAACAAAGCCCTCATTGTTAGGGCAACAGACACCCCTTTGTGCAACCAGCAGGAGGAGAGGACCCCAGCCTAGCCTGACTCCCCTTCCAGAGGCCCCTGAACCACTGCTCTGCTACCTGGGGGGAAGGGGCCCAGTTGCTAAGGGCAGGGGGAGGAAAGAGATGGGCCGGACTGAAGGAGAGGAAAGTCAACAGAGAAGGTAAGAAAGGAGGGCAGAGCAGGAGGGAGGGAATAAAGAGATGGGAGCGGAGCGATGCTGAGAGAGCCTGCTCCCCCCATCACCCTTCCCTCGCTACCACTTCTATTCCCTGCTCATCCACACTCCTGCTGTTTCTCAAAGCTTTCTACTCAGATTTCCCATGTACTGACACACACCCCCACACACAATCCTGTTGCAGTGCCTGGAGCGTTTCCAGCCCTGCGCTTACTCGCTCCCTGCCCCAGTCCAGGCCAGACTCCCTGCTTTTCCATTCTTCCCACCTTGCCCTCCTACTCCCTGCTTACCTGCAGCTCAGTGATAGACATGATCTCTTGCCAAGTCAGTTCCATGTCACCCAGCTCCAGAGCGGGCAGCTGTGTCACCCTGTTCCTGCTCTGCTGGGGAGGACACGAGGGCATCCTACTGGGCCAGAGTCTGGTCCAGGTTCCCCCAAAGTCCAAAGGGCCCCAGTAACCTGTGTCAGAGGAAGAAGTGTTAGAATCACTGCTGCTGGGGTCAGCAATCTTTCTCTGGCCTTGGCTTCACTGGAGCAGAGGTTGCACTCACAAATCAACCCCTTAAGCTGGAAAGTCCTCTGTGTCTTGATGCCTACCTCTTCTACTAGGGCTGCGGTCAGTTCCTTTGGGAGCACGGTAGGACTTTACTTATTTTCAGACAAGATGTCGTCTCTTGGGAACCAGCAGTTAGCGTAATGGCTATGTCACTGAACTCCCACGTTGTCGGCCACAGTTCGCGTCCTGGACCCAGTGGCTTAAAACTCACGCCGGGCAAGTGTGCGTGGGTGCCCAAGATCCGGAGAGGAGAATGGAGGAGAAGGGATTGCGGCGTGGCCATCCCCCCTGGGGGGTGATTTCTCGCTTTCTGTCTCTCTGTCTCTGTCTGTCTGTCTGGCGAGTGCACGCGCCCTATAGCAAAAACCTCTCCAAAAAAATGAATAAATAAAAATAAAATTAAATAAAAATAAAATAAAAAAAAAAAGATGTCATCTCTTTCCCCTGCTTCTTACTCTCTAAAACTGTATTTCTGACCACAAACAGATTCAGAGCTGGATGTTTTGGGGTTCGTTTCATTTTGTTTTCTATTTCTGAGGCAACATTAGGGGTCACCTCTGCTTTCCTCCTCTGTCTTCAGTTTTTACATCTCAACCTTTTCTTCCCAAGATGAAAGTGAGTGCTTAGGGACCCCCAAGGAGTGTGTTGTGGGAAGAGCTGAGCAGACAGCCCTGCCCTTCTCTGAGATAGGATGCAGGCCTGGCAGCTGATAGCAGCTGCTGCCTTCTCCTCCTCTCCTGGCCCAGGGCTGCTCTGCCTGTGCCAGATAAGAGGTTTATCAGCTGCAGGCAGCAGAGGCTAAGGAGTAATGGGCCCTGTGTCCTATAGGGTCATCTTGGCCATACCCCACACAATCAGGGGTCTTTCTTCTTCCAAGGTAATACAAGACTCATTAAGAACTAGTCAAGAACTGTGCTATGCTGGGGTTTTACAAGCATCAGTTTATGAGATCGATTTTCACAAAGATCCTATAAGGTCCATTCATAAACTGAGACCTAAGTAGACTGAGGTCTGGAACTTGATTCTTACTTATAATGCCTTCTAGGCACCTTCCCATTCCAAGCCTCTATCACACTCTACCTCAATCAACTCATTCTGTGGAGTCTCAGTCTCTTTTCTCTTCTAGGGAATAACATTTTTTTCTTTTTGAGAGGTTTTTCCTGTAGGGTGCTTGCACTCACTGGAAAGACAGAGAAAAAAGAGAGAGACAGAAAGCGAGAAATCACACCCCAGGGGGAATGGCCACGCCGCAATCCCTCTCCTCCATTCTCCTCTCCGGATCTTGGGCACGCACGCACACGCGACCAACGTGAGGGTCCGGGACTCAAACCGCGGTCGACTACATGGGAGTTCAGCGACATAGCCATTACGCTAACTGCTGGTCCTCCTGGGCAATAACTCTTGAAGAGTCTTGGATACACACTTCCTTCAAGCCCCTTGTCTTTTAATCTGACTTTAGCTGCAGCTCTGTGGCAGAACAGCAGTGGGATGTTGGGCAAGCCATCTCACTTCTCTGGGCCTCTGTTTCCTCATTTGTAAAACCAAGGAGTTAGACAAGTTGAACTCAGAGGTCCCTTTCTACTTGGACAGCCTAGAATTCTCAGCATCTTCTCATTCCTGTCTGTATCTTCTCTCTGTCTCTCTCCTCATCCTACCTTCCAGTTCCCTGCCACCCATTTCTCATGGCACCTGTTCTCCCTGCCTTCAGCAAAAGATTCCAAGCAGATATAGCAGGGGCCTTCTGATCTCTTAGGGCCAGACACTGTACACACTCAGTCTACTATCTAAGTAAAGGAAGCAGGCTAGAGGTGAAGGACTCTGATACAAGGATAGAAAGCAAGACTGGATGACCTCAAATTGCGAATTTTAAGCCACCAGGTCCAGGATGCGAACCGCGGTCAACTACGTGGGAGTCCAGCGACATAGCCATTATGCTAACTGCTGGTCCCATGACAGATATTTAATATGGAATCAACTCTCATTTACCACAAAAATTGGTGGGGACTATAGATTGTCCTTTTGAAAGCGAATCCCCCCTAGTCCCTGCCTCTATGCCCTAGCTATATGCCATCCCCAGAGCTGGGAGCTGGTATAGGCACAGGCCAGTGGGCAGATAGGGTGGGGTGTTTATGTCTGTCCAGGATGCCATTTCAACACCGGAACCCCACCCTCCCCCACCCAGGTTCTAGCGGAAATTGCCCAAAGGCAAAGTGAATGGAGAAGGGGCTGGGGGAGGGGGCAGTAGAGGATGATGACTCTTGCCTCATAGTTCTTCACCCACCCCACCCCCACTTTGTCTCCCTTATCTTCCTGATTGTGACTCTAAGGTGTAGGTACAAAGCCCCTGCCCTAGGAGGCAGGAGACCAGGTTCTCTGACTTTCAAAACACAGGACCTTGAGCAACTCTCTTCACACCCATCTCTTCCATTAAGTGGAGATGGAACCAGAAACTTATCACCATGAGTAGCAGTAGATTGCATGTAGCTCAGGAAGTCACAAATTTTATTGTCACATTCCCCTGGGGTACATGTAAAAACAGATCACTGAAAGTTGCCCCAGACCTACTGATGTGAGCTCATAGGTACAAGTACCCAGTAACCAGCATTTTAATAAGCACCTCAGTGATTCTTATGGAACAGGCCATTCACACCTTGAGAGATGCTCAACTGGGGGCCCAGAGAAGTATCACAGAGGCATGGTGGTTACAGGAACTGGACTCCTATATGGCCAACCGTGGTTCTAGTCCCGGCCCTGGTGGCTTTCTCTCTCTCTCTCCCCTCAAATCAGAAACAAATAATAATGATGATAATAAATAAAATAGTTTAAAAAAAATTTTTTTAATGAACTCCCACGTTGTCGGCCACAGTTCGCGTCCTGGACCCAGTGGCTTAAAACTCACGCCGGGCAAGTGTGCGTGGGTGCCCAAGATCCGGAGAGGAGAATGGAGGAGAAGGGATTGCGGCGTGGCCATCCCCCCTGGGGGGTGATTTCTCGCTTTCTGTCTCTCTGTCTCTGTCTGTCTGTCTGGCGAGTGCACGCGCCCTATAGCAAAAACCTCTCCAAAAAAATGAATAAATAAAAATAAAATTAAATAAAAATAAAATAAAAAAAAAAAGATGTCATCTCTTTCCCCTGCTTCTTACTCTCTAAAACTGTATTTCTGACCACAAACAGATTCAGAGCTGGATGTTTTGGGGTTCGTTTCATTTTGTTTTCTATTTCTGAGGCAACATTAGGGGTCACCTCTGCTTTCCTCCTCTGTCTTCAGTTTTTACATCTCAACCTTTTCTTCCCAAGATGAAAGTGAGTGCTTAGGGACCCCCAAGGAGTGTGTTGTGGGAAGAGCTGAGCAGACAGCCCTGCCCTTCTCTGAGATAGGATGCAGGCCTGGCAGCTGATAGCAGCTGCTGCCTTCTCCTCCTCTCCTGGCCCAGGGCTGCTCTGCCTGTGCCAGATAAGAGGTTTATCAGCTGCAGGCAGCAGAGGCTAAGGAGTAATGGGCCCTGTGTCCTATAGGGTCATCTTGGCCATACCCCACACAATCAGGGGTCTTTCTTCTTCCAAGGTAATACAAGACTCATTAAGAACTAGTCAAGAACTGTGCTATGCTGGGGTTTTACAAGCATCAGTTTATGAGATCGATTTTCACAAAGATCCTATAAGGTCCATTCATAAACTGAGACCTAAGTAGACTGAGGTCTGGAACTTGATTCTTACTTATAATGCCTTCTAGGCACCTTCCCATTCCAAGCCTCTATCACACTCTACCTCAATCAACTCATTCTGTGGAGTCTCAGTCTCTTTTCTCTTCTAGGGAATAACATTTTTTTCTTTTTGAGAGGTTTTTCCTGTAGGGTGCTTGCACTCACTGGAAAGACAGAGAAAAAAGAGAGAGACAGAAAGCGAGAAATCACACCCCAGGGGGAATGGCCACGCCGCAATCCCTCTCCTCCATTCTCCTCTCCGGATCTTGGGCACGCACGCACACGCGACCAACGTGAGGGTCCGGGACTCAAACCGCGGTCGACTACATGGGAGTTCAGCGACATAGCCATTACGCTAACTGCTGGTCCTCCTGGGCAATAACTCTTGAAGAGTCTTGGATACACACTTCCTTCAAGCCCCTTGTCTTTTAATCTGACTTTAGCTGCAGCTCTGTGGCAGAACAGCAGTGGGATGTTGGGCAAGCCATCTCACTTCTCTGGGCCTCTGTTTCCTCATTTGTAAAACCAAGGAGTTAGACAAGTTGAACTCAGAGGTCCCTTTCTACTTGGACAGCCTAGAATTCTCAGCATCTTCTCATTCCTGTCTGTATCTTCTCTCTGTCTCTCTCCTCATCCTACCTTCCAGTTCCCTGCCACCCATTTCTCATGGCACCTGTTCTCCCTGCCTTCAGCAAAAGATTCCAAGCAGATATAGCAGGGGCCTTCTGATCTCTTAGGGCCAGACACTGTACACACTCAGTCTACTATCTAAGTAAAGGAAGCAGGCTAGAGGTGAAGGACTCTGATACAAGGATAGAAAGCAAGACTGGATGACCTCAAATTGCGAATTTTAAGCCACCAGGTCCAGGATGCGAACCGCGGTCAACTACGTGGGAGTCCAGCGACATAGCCATTATGCTAACTGCTGGTCCCATGACAGATATTTAATATGGAATCAACTCTCATTTACCACAAAAATTGGTGGGGACTATAGATTGTCCTTTTGAAAGCGAATCCCCCCTAGTCCCTGCCTCTATGCCCTAGCTATATGCCATCCCCAGAGCTGGGAGCTGGTATAGGCACAGGCCAGTGGGCAGATAGGGTGGGGTGTTTATGTCTGTCCAGGATGCCATTTCAACACCGGAACCCCACCCTCCCCCACCCAGGTTCTAGCGGAAATTGCCCAAAGGCAAAGTGAATGGAGAAGGGGCTGGGGGAGGGGGCAGTAGAGGATGATGACTCTTGCCTCATAGTTCTTCACCCACCCCACCCCCACTTTGTCTCCCTTATCTTCCTGATTGTGACTCTAAGGTGTAGGTACAAAGCCCCTGCCCTAGGAGGCAGGAGACCAGGTTCTCTGACTTTCAAAACACAGGACCTTGAGCAACTCTCTTCACACCCATCTCTTCCATTAAGTGGAGATGGAACCAGAAACTTATCACCATGAGTAGCAGTAGATTGCATGTAGCTCAGGAAGTCACAAATTTTATTGTCACATTCCCCTGGGGTACATGTAAAAACAGATCACTGAAAGTTGCCCCAGACCTACTGATGTGAGCTCATAGGTACAAGTACCCAGTAACCAGCATTTTAATAAGCACCTCAGTGATTCTTATGGAACAGGCCATTCACACCTTGAGAGATGCTCAACTGGGGGGCCAGAGAAGTATCACAGAGGCATGGTGGTTACAGGAACTGGACTCCTATATGGCCAACCGTGGTTCTAGTCCCGGCCCTGGTGGCTTTCTCTCTCTCTCTCCCCTCAAATCAGAAACAAATAATAATGATGATAATAAATAAAATAGTTTAAAAAAAATTTTTTTAAAGAAATGCTACACTGGTCCAACTGTGTGGATTAACAGAAAAGAACACGAAGCCAGAAAGTAGAGTGGCAAATGATCTCTGGGCTTCTAGTGTCAAACACTCGACCCAGGCAAGGCTGGGCTCCAAGTGGTCCGGGGGCGGGGGGGGGGGGGAAGTTTCTGTCTCTGGCTACTCTGCATCTGGCTATCAGTTCCTTCTTTGGAAAATCTGAAGCTCAGGGGCCAGCAGGTGGTGGTTAAGCCTCTGGACTCCCACATGGTTGACCATAGTTCAAGCCCTGAACCTGGTGGCTTGCTTTCTCATTTTCCCTCTCTCTCTGGTCAAATTTTAAAATAATAATAATAATAAATAAAATTAATCATTCCTTTTTTTAAAATCTGAAGCTCACTCTCTCTCTGGGATAGGAAAATAAGAACGAAGAAGAAGGCAAGAAGTTGGGGAGAGGGGTTGAGGAGACTGTCTGGATCAGTTCCAAACAGCTCAGGTGCAGTAGCAAGTTTGTAGCAGGCTACAAGGGAGCAGGATGTTTTTCTGCACACACTCGGGAATGATGGCCGTCAATATGCCAGGGTAGGTCCTTCTGGGTCTTAGGAGTCTAAGTTTTAGATGCCAGGGAAACTGGCGACCCAGTAGCATAGGTCAGGGAGAGTAGTGTCGTCAAAACTGGGTCAAATAAGACACCATGAAGAGTGTAGAAATGGAAAATACTGAGGGCGTCCCTGTGTCCCTTTACTTTTACTATAAGCAATTCCCACTTTCCAGTGGAGCCTGCATTTTAATGTCACACAACCACCTTACTTCCACCGGGTTAGCTGTCCTCTTTTTCCACATTGTGGATCAGATAGAACCAGAGCCATCTCCAAGGACTACAATCCATCCTCCTTACTCTCATCCATCAGGACCCGTCCTACACAGAATGATTTTATTACGAGCCCCATGCACTCGCAGAATGATGTACTGGGCTATTGGAAAAATCATGATGTATTTGTTCCTATATTTTTCTATGCAAAATGTGCCTTGGCTTTTCTGACAACCCAAAAGAATGTTATGCTGCGGGATAAGCCTCCTCTGCTGCCCCAGAGTTCTTCATTTCTTTGACGAGGGGCAGTAATAGACAGGAGGCTCACCCCAGGGCCCCTATTCTGAGGCTCTGAGGCTTCACCTCTCCAGGTAATGAAAGGATGGAGAAGGATCAGAACAACTGTGGTGTGGTTTGGCAGGTGAGTAGTCTATTTAGAAAGATTAGGGAGAGCCCCTGAAGAAGGAGGGGTACACAAAAGTGAAAGAAACAAACAAAATGAAGAAAAAAGGAGGAGAGAGATCTTTGATCAGTGTGCCTGGTGACCTGGAAACATACATGACTCAAACGCGTACGAGGGAACAAGGCAAAAGGGGACACGTTACTGCTATCTTGTCACTTCTTCCCTATACTCCAAACTCCAGTCTTTTTTAGAACAATGTCTAGAGAATTCCAGCCCCAGCAGATCTGATAAACCCCCTCCTCTCTTCCTTTGCTTCCGAGCCCCCTGCCTCAAAAACGGCCCAAAGTTCCAGTCTGAAAGAACCATGTTGGGGTTGGGATGCTTTCTTCTCCCTTCCAGTTCCAGCAGCTCTCTACTGACCCTGGGCCCAAAAAAAGAGAAGGGACAATGGGAAGCACCCAGCCCTCCCTACCTAACTATCCCATCTTCCCATGACGACACTTCTCAGAAGTCCAGATAGCCAGTGTTTCCAACTCCCTAGTTTCCCCCAACCTTCCCAGGTGGCTGGACAGGGCAACAGAACTGAATGGGTAGCGAAAAGAATGGCACCATATACTTAGGAGTCTATTGCTCTTGCAGGGCAGCACACTGGTTGAAGGGTTTATCCTGGCCACTCTCAAGCTCCTCAGGAGACCACCGTTTGGTCCCACCCACAACCTTCCACCCCAAAGATCCCAGGGCACTCAAGAACCCATCTAGGTCTTTTCTCAGAGAAGTTCCCAAAGATGTCACATTCCTAAAGCAGGAGCAGTCTGGGAAGCTCTCCTAGGAACATACTTGAATTGGTTCATTTTTCCTCTACCTACCCAGCCCCTCAGATCCACTGGAATCCCTCCCTCCATCCCACCTTTCAGGCACCTGTGGCAGAGTCCAAGCAGAGCGAGGAGAGCATCTGGCTATCAGTTCCTTCTTTGGAAAATCTGAAGCTCAGGGGCCAGCAGGTGGTGGTTAAGCCTCTGGACTCCCACATGGTTGACCATAGTTCAAGCCCTGAACCTGGTGGCTTGCTTTCTCATTTTCCCTCTCTCTCTGGTCAAATTTTAAAATAATAATAATAATAAATAAAATTAATCATTCCTTTTTTTAAAATCTGAAGCTCACTCTCTCTCTGGGATAGGAAAATAAGAACGAAGAAGAAGGCAAGAAGTTGGGGAGAGGGGTTGAGGAGACTGTCTGGATCAGTTCCAAACAGCTCAGGTGCAGTAGCAAGTTTGTAGCAGGCTACAAGGGAGCAGGATGTTTTTCTGCACACACTCGGGAATGATGGCCGTCAATATGCCAGGGTAGGTCCTTCTGGGTCTTAGGAGTCTAAGTTTTAGATGCCAGGGAAACTGGCGACCCAGTAGCATAGGTCAGGGAGAGTAGTGTCGTCAAAACTGGGTCAAATAAGACACCATGAAGAGTGTAGAAATGGAAAATACTGAGGGCGTCCCTGTGTCCCTTTACTTTTACTATAAGCAATTCCCACTTTCCAGTGGAGCCTGCATTTTAATGTCACACAACCACCTTACTTCCACCGGGTTAGCTGTCCTCTTTTTCCACATTGTGGATCAGATAGAACCAGAGCCATCTCCAAGGACTACAATCCATCCTCCTTACTCTCATCCATCAGGACCCGTCCTACACAGAATGATTTTATTACGAGCCCCATGCACTCGCAGAATGATGTACTGGGCTATTGGAAAAATCATGATGTATTTGTTCCTATATTTTTCTATGCAAAATGTGCCTTGGCTTTTCTGACAACCCAAAAGAATGTTATGCTGCGGGATAAGCCTCCTCTGCTGCCCCAGAGTTCTTCATTTCTTTGACGAGGGGCAGTAATAGACAGGAGGCTCACCCCAGGGCCCCTATTCTGAGGCTCTGAGGCTTCACCTCTCCAGGTAATGAAAGGATGGAGAAGGATCAGAACAACTGTGGTGTGGTTTGGCAGGTGAGTAGTCTATTTAGAAAGATTAGGGAGAGCCCCTGAAGAAGGAGGGGTACACAAAAGTGAAAGAAACAAACAAAATGAAGAAAAAAGGAGGAGAGAGATCTTTGATCAGTGTGCCTGGTGACCTGGAAACATACATGACTCAAACGCGTACGAGGGAACAAGGCAAAAGGGGACACGTTACTGCTATCTTGTCACTTCTTCCCTATACTCCAAACTCCAGTCTTTTTTAGAACAATGTCTAGAGAATTCCAGCCCCAGCAGATCTGATAAACCCCCTCCTCTCTTCCTTTGCTTCCGAGCCCCCTGCCTCAAAAACGGCCCAAAGTTCCAGTCTGAAAGAACCATGTTGGGGTTGGGATGCTTTCTTCTCCCTTCCAGTTCCAGCAGCTCTCTACTGACCCTGGGCCCAAAAAAAGAGAAGGGACAATGGGAAGCACCCAGCCCTCCCTACCTAACTATCCCATCTTCCCATGACGACACTTCTCAGAAGTCCAGATAGCCAGTGTTTCCAACTCCCTAGTTTCCCCCAACCTTCCCAGGTGGCTGGACAGGGCAACAGAACTGAATGGGTAGCGAAAAGAATGGCACCATATACTTAGGAGTCTATTGCTCTTGCAGGGCAGCACACTGGTTGAAGGGTTTATCCTGGCCACTCTCAAGCTCCTCAGGAGACCACCGTTTGGTCCCACCCACAACCTTCCACCCCAAAGATCCCAGGGCACTCAAGAACCCATCTAGGTCTTTTCTCAGAGAAGTTCCCAAAGATGTCACATTCCTAAAGCAGGAGCAGTCTGGGAAGCTCTCCTAGGAACATACTTGAATTGGTTCATTTTTCCTCTACCTACCCAGCCCCTCAGATCCACTGGAATCCCTCCCTCCATCCCACCTTTCAGGCACCTGTGGCAGAGTCCAAGCAGAGCGAGGAGACAGATGAGGCTCCTGGTGTTGTCACTGGAGAGGCTGGGCCTGAGCTGACACCTCCTGAGTGAGGATCCCTGTTACCTCTGAGAACCTGTAAAGGTTGTGCCCCGCCCCTGGGCCATTGCTGAGCCTTGAGCTTGGAGGCTTGGGCTGGGCTGAGCTCAGAGAGCCCTGAAGCAGGCGCACCAGCCTTCTCTCTGAAGCCCTCAGCCTGAGTTCTCAGACCTTCCTCCAACCCTCCCCTTTCCCCGTGGCCCTCCTCTCCTCCTGCCCCTTCTGGCCAGCAGAGGAAACTTGAGCCTGGTGTGGTTTCTGCCCATACCCCGCCCCCACCTCGCTCCCAGCCAGCAGGGGCACACATGGCTCCAAGCCTCTCCCAGCCCTCCTTCCAGCCCAGGATCCAGCCAAGTCTTCGATTCTTCCATGCACATGATGTATTCCAACCTGATGGTTCTCTCAAAAGTGACCTCTAAACTTGATATAGGTTGTTGCCTCCTTCCTCCACTCCCTTGTCTCCATTAGGGACAGGGACACTGAGTCATGGTGGCCAGTTGAAGGTAAGGACCAAGTGTCTTTAGCTTCCCAGCTGTTTAGACAGGTGGGCATTTAGGGTATGACCTTTATTTAAGGGAGGCCTGAGTTCTGGCAACAGGGTAGAGGAACTGTTTTGGGGAGGAGGGGCAGCCGACTGCTTTGATGTGTCCTTTCACCTGTAGTCTTCTCCCCTCCTCCCCTCAGCCTCAGATATCCTAGGACAAAGGCCTCTTTCTTGGCCAGGGTGTGTGTGTGTGTGTGTGTGTGTGTGTGTGTGTGTGCGCTTGCACACGGGCGTGTGTGAGAGGAGTTGGTAGGGGGCCACCCAGCAGGGAGATTCCTTGCCTCCCTTAGAGAGGATCCTGGGTGCGTTGCATCCTCCTTTCTATCAGGCGGGTCACCTCTGCCACACAGACAGGCCAGGATGCATGGTATACGGGCTGTCAGGTCCATCTCCAAGCACCCACAGCAGCTATGTATCAGCCAATATGCACCCCTTCTCACCTCCAGGCCATATGACCCTACCCCCGGGCCAATCAGATCTGTCTTCAGAGACTAGGAGAAAATTCCTTCCTTCTAGTCCTCCTGCTTCTGGTTTGTATTGGCTTTCAGCTCTTACGGAAAGTCTTTGTGTTGAACTTTGATTCTTACAGCTACAGCTTACATTTTTTCTCTATTTTTTTTTCTTTTTATAGAATCCCAGTCAAATTGGAAATATTTAAAGAATGGGAAAGCAGATAGGAGCTCCCCAAGACAAGGCTGGGATTCAGCCAGCGAGCTCTGATGGGATTATGTTCATTCACTGAAAATGATGGAAAATGGTCTGTCCCAGTGGATAAAGGACAGAGGCCGCAAGCTTGTCAAGTGTACCTCGCCGCCTTATTACGAACCTTGGCCACCCCAGGTCTCCTTTACTATATCTCACAACCAAGCAAGCAAAGAGGCAATGCTAGGACCACCGGAGCTATCCGTGCAGCCTGCACATGCTGGGCTTGATCAATGCCCAGACCAAATCCTTGTCGAATGCTTTGAATTCCATCCCTATTCTGGGAGGTCATGACTGAACATGAATGATCTATGTAGGACGGGGGACATCTATTGCATGTTACATGTAGATTCAGAATCTCTCGACAACCTGGACATGAACCTGGGTCAGGTACATGGGCATTCAGATCTAGCTCCTCACTTGTATACTTATTTGGGCCCCTCAGAGGGAATGAAGGATGGCAATAGTCACAGTTGTGGCTGATTATATGCTGATATCAGGTTACAAAGACGCGACACAAACATATATTGAATGAGAACTGCCAGTTTAGGACACTGTGGCATTGCAGCTATAGCTATGGACCAAACCTCATCTTTCATTCATTCATTTCATAGTAGATATGTTTTACATATTACTATGTTTTACGCTCCAGGAACACAAAGATGAGTGAAAAATAGTTCACGGGGGGTTGGCAGGTGGCGTGGTTAAAGGCACATAGCCAATCACAGTTCAAGTCCCAGACCTGATGGCTTGCTTTCTCACTCTCCCTCTCTCTCTTGCTGTCTCTCTCTGATCGAGCTTGAAAATAATAAGAGTAATTAAAGTTAAATAATGACAAAAAAATAGTTCATGTCCTCACATCACAATCTAGTGAGTCTACATTAATAACTGTCTCTATAAAGTGGAACAGCAGAGAAAATGAATTCTGTCTGATGAAATTCTGGGAAGGCTTCATGAAGGTGGTAGTAAATAAGGTCATAAATAAATGAGGATATGGAAAATGACCAGGGATTCCCCAGCAGGGAAGGGAAAGTCTTTCTTTTTTAGAGGTTTTTGTTACAGGGCACGTGTACTCACCAGAAAGACAGAGAAATAGAGAGACAGAAAAACAGAAAGTGAGAAATCACCCCCCAAGGGGGATAGCCACGCCACAATTCCCTCTCTTCCATTCTCCCCTTGGGATCCTGGGCACATACACACATGCGCCCGACATGAGTTTAAGCCACTAGGTCTGGGACTTGAACCGCGGTCTATTACATGGGAGTCCAGCGACATAGCCATTACACCACCTGCTGGCCCCAGAGACCCTGCTCTTAAACACAAGGCCCAGCAGGAGGCAAAGATCCAAGTTCGAAGAGAGGTACAAGAACAAGAACAAGTGGTTCTTCCAGAAGCTGCAGTTTTAGATATTTTATGTTTCAGTCATTAAAAAGATGAAATAAAATTACTAATAAATAAATTTATTTATTAGTCCTCGAGGTGCTCTGTGGTGTTGGAATCTTCTTGCTTGTCGGCCTGTGCGTGCGTGCGTGGACATGGCCTCAAACGATTATACCCAAAGCTATGGGGCCTATCCCACCCAGCCTGGACAGGGCTACTCCCAGCAGAGCAGTCAGCCCTATGGACAGCAGAGTTACAGTGGTGACGGTCAGTCAGCAGATACTTCAGGCTATGGCCAGAGCAGCTATAGTTCTTCTTATGGACAGACCCGGAACAGCTACAGCACTCAGTTAGCTCCCCAGGGATATGGCTCAGCTGGTGGCTATGGCAGCAGCCAGAGTTCCCAGTCATCTTATGGGCAGCAGTCCTCCTACCCCGGCTAAGGCCAGCAGCCAGCTCCCAGCAACACCTCGGGAGGTTACGGTAGCAGTTCTCAGAGCAGCAGCTATGAGCAGCCCCAGAGTGGGGGCTATGACCAACAGTCTGGTTATGGTGGACAACAGCAAAGCTCCTATAATCCCCCTCAGGGCTACAGACAGCAGAACCAGTACAATAGTAGCAGTGGAGGTGGCAGAAGGGGTGGCGGAGGTAACTGTGGCCAGGAGAAGTCCTCCATGAGTGGTGGCAGTGGTGGTTATGGCAATCAGGACCAAAGTGGTGGTGGCGGTGGTGGCTACGGGGGAGGCCAGCAGGACCGTGGTGGCCGTGGCCGGGGCGGTGGGTCACACCGGAGGGTGGCTATGAACCCAGAGGTTGTGGAGGTGGCCGTGGAGGCAGAGGGGGCATGAGCAGAAGTGACCGTGGTGGCTTCAATAAATTTGGTAGCCCTCGGGACCAAGGATCATGTCACAACACGACTCTGAGCAGGATAATTCCGACAGCACCACCATCTTCGTGCAAGGCCTGGACGAGAATGTTACAATTGAGTCTGTGGCTGATTACTTCAAGCAGATTGGTATTATTAAGACACATAAGAAAACAGGACAGTCCATGATTAATTTGTACACAGACCAGGAAACTGGCAAGCTGAAGGGAGAGGCAACAGTTTCATCTGATGACCCACCTTCTGCTAAAGCAGCTATTGACTGGTTTGATGGTAAAGAATTTTCTGGGAACCCTATCAAGGTCTCATTTGCTACTCGCCGAGCAGATTTCAATCGGGCTGGTGGCAATGGTCGTGGAGGCCGAGGCCGAGGAGGACCCATGGGCTGTGGAGGCTATGGAGGTTGTGGCAGTGGTGGCAGTGGCCGGGAAGGATTCCCCAGTGGAGGTGGTGACAGTGGAGGACAGCAATGAGCTGGGGACTGGATGTGTCCTACATGTGACAATATGAACCTCTCTTGGAGGAATGAATGTAACCAGTGTAAGGCTCCTAAGCCAGATGGCCCCGGAGGGGGACCAGGAAGCTCTCATATGGGAGGTAACTATGGAGGTGACTGTCGTGGTGGCAGAGGAGCATATGATCAAGGCAGCTACCAGGGTCCCAGTGGGGACCGTGGGGGCTTCCGAGGGGGCTGAGGTGATGTGGACAGAGGTGGCATTGGCCCCAGCAAGATGGACTCCAGGGGTGATCACAGGTAGGATCACCGGGAGAGGCCATATTAGCCAGGCACCTGAGGTTCTGGAACAGCTTTTCTTCCTGTACTCAGTGTTTCCCTTGTCATTTTGTAACCTTCAACTCCTGATCACCCGCAGGGGTTTTCTGTGTCAGACTACGTAATTGCATCCGTGCTTCTGGATCCCATTAAAACCATACTTTTAATTTAAATAAAAGAGAGAGAGGGAAAATGAGAAAGCAAGCCACCAGGTCTGGGACTCAATCCATAGTTGGCTATGTGGGAGTCCAGAACCTTAACCACCATGCCTCCTGCTAGCCCCCTATTAATTATTATTATTAAAATTTTAAAATTAATTTTATTTACTATTGTTACTTTTTTTTTTTTTTTTTTTGGGGGTTCCCGTTATAGGGTGCGTGCACTCGCCAGAAAGACAGAAAGTGAGAAATCACCCCCCATGGGGGATGGCCACTCCACAATTCCTTCTCTTGGGATCTTGGGCACACATGTATATGCGCCCAGTGTGAGTTGAAGCCAATAGGTCTGGGAGGCAAACTGTGGTCAACTACATGGGAGTCCAGTGACATAGCCATTACAACAACTGCTGGTCCCTGTTTTTTCTTTTTTAATTTGACCAGAAAGATACAGAGAGAGAGGAAAAGTGAGAAAGCAAGCCCCCGGGTCTGGGACTCAAACCGTGGTAGTCCATGTGGAATATCCTTAATGATTATTAGCGCCTTAACCATCAAGCCCCCTGCTAGCTCCATTACACTGTTTTTTAACTTGCTATAGAGCATGTGCTCTCACCAGAAAGAGACACAAAGTCGGGGGTAGTGAGAAAGCAAGCCACCAGGTCTAGGACTCAAACTGTGGTCAGCCATGTGGGAGTCCAGCCTCTCAACCACCTTGTCACCTGCTGGTCCCAGAAAGAGGCTTTTCTTGGGTTTCCCAGGCTGTGCCCTACCTCCCGAACATGCTTTACCGTCCTC